AGGAAAAAGGTAAGTAAAAGAAAATAAATTAGTAGCAGTTGTCGTTAAAGACTACGTACGTAAGGGGTACGAAAAAGGGTAACGAACGACGTCCCTTACGCACCCACTGCAACTCGATGGGGGCGTCTCTCTCGCTCTCTCTCATCCTCCCCCGTCCCTCCTCCTGTACCATATGGATCTAATCGGCCAAGAGCTGGCCAGCTGGGACCTCCAACAGTCACCTGTGAGGGAGAGGGGGGGGTGAATAAGGGACTGCTGGAGCCTCCTTCACTAAGCCAAAGCAGCACACACACTTCTGCCTTCCCTCCAAGGGGTGGAGGAGGACGTGGAGGGGAGGGGGGGGAGGCACGAGGCGGCTGAATGCAAGCGAGTGGACTTAAATGCCGGGGAGACAAAGGCTGCACCTGGTCCCCGTCCGTCCACGCACACTACCACAATACAGCACACATCTGTTCCTCTATCCCCCCCCACACACACACACACACACACACACACACACACACACACACACACACACACACACACACACTAACAGTCTCCCAGTGTCAGGCTGGAGTTATAACCTCATAGAGAAAGGACAGGTTCAAGGACTTAAGTATTTTAGAGGCCTTTCGCTGGGTGAATGGTGTTGAATATCTGAAAATTAGAGGACATGTGTCCCCTCTGCTTATTTCAATTAACTTAATTTATACTATTGCTCTCTTGGGACTGAGACCTCTTCAACTGTTGCCGCAATCCATTTGCCTCACTTACACGTAAGCATGTTTTACAATATGCAACGTACTGGTTTATAAAATAATGGAAAGCTACATGTTACCACTATATATTTAAAAAGGAGATTCATTTATGTTTCAAACTAAATTATGCATTAGGTCTCTACTGCAGAAAAAAGTTGCCTATGTATTATCACAGTGACACTTTTACTGACTATGCAAGACAGTTAAAACCAGCACTGACTTTAATAAGAAATTAGTCTACAAATTAGAGGCGCTAGTTTTGGAGAAGGAGGGGTGCATGTAGGGAGAGAAGGGAGGGAGGGAGGGAATAACAAGGATAGAAAATACTGGTTTCATTTGGTTTCATCAGAAAGACAAGTCTGGTTGTCAGACTCCGAGCCAGGCTGTTTTTCTTGGCTCTCTCTACCACCTTCCAGCCCCGTAGGGACATTTGGACAAAATCCAATGTCAATACTTAGCTCCTCACTCTGCTAGGGAGGGGGGGGAGATACTAAGGGTGACAGCAAAGGGGAAGGTGAAAGATATATACAGGGAGAGAATGCAAGGACACCTTTGGAGGAAAATAAATGGGTAAAAAGAGACATATTGATATTGGGGAAGGAAGAGATATTGTGAAGAGACACAGATGTGTGTCTGGAGTTAACTTGTCACATTTCCCTGTGGCAGTGAGAGAAGCCCGACTTTGTCACTCAGTGGGATGATTACAATAACACTGCTGCTGTAAAAAAGGGACCCAGGGATGGAAATTTACTTAGCTGGCAAAGCGAGAAAGAAAACGAAAGCGGCGACGGCAAGGCAGACAGAAGTCGTCAATAAAAACTAAGAATGAGCAGTAAAAAGGCACAGTGATGTGATGCTGGAGTCAGAGGAGGGAGAGGAGGTTTGACAGAGGGCAGCGAGGACGGACAGTGTCCACGTGTGTGAGGTCAGACCGCTGGGAAAATATGCTGGGTGGGATTTTAAGTTTGACGAAACAAAATAGTAGATTCAAAAGATAATATAGGAGTTGATATAGGATAGCATTTTTTTGTATGAAGAACTATAACCATAACATAAGCCTAGTGTTCAATTTAAAAAGGTGTTATATTTAAAAAGGATAACATTTTTAAAATTAGAGCAACGGTAGTAAAAAAGTAATTGCTGTGAACTCACACACTCCTGTAGTAGCATTGGTCACAGGCTCCACTGTCACTGGGTCAAATGGATGTTTGCTATTCAGAGTGGCATAGACTTAAAACACAGACGCTCGCCTGCGTCACAGACAGCTGAGCCACGAGGGATCTGGAAGTGGATGTGTGTCATCATGTGTGTGTGTGCGTTGGCCTCATTTACCAGGTGTTGGGTTTGACATTGGTTTAGTGGAGAGAGGACAGTTATCCCTGAAGTAACACACACACACACACACACACACACACACACACACACACACACACACACACACACACACACACACACACACACACACACACACACACACACACACACACACACACACACACACACACACACACACACACACACACACACACACACACACACACACACCTATGAAATGGCCAGCCTGAGGCACATGTACACACACACCCACACAAATAACAACTGTGACAAAACAGAGACAATTCAAATCTGTCAATCATGACCTGAACCACAAAGCTGTGACAAACACAAGTATGCAGACTCTCTCACACCAGCTTCCCTTCTCTGAGGGCCAGTCGATTATCTGCCTATCTGGTTACAACCCTTCTCACCTCTCCGT